ACAGTCACTCTTAAATTTGATACATTTTACCGCAAAACATTTCATTATTGCTTTATCGATCTCACTTTGTTTCAGTTTGACTATCTGCTTTAGGCATCCTAGAAATGACTAGAACTATACCCTGTCAAAGCGAGAAGCAAATTCCTGGATACGATCAGAGATTTTCATAAATCGCTCAGAGTGTTTAGTCAGTGGGAACCAGATCTTCATTCTTTGTATGAATTGCGGTTTTGGATCGTCTTATGTTTTCGCTTTATCAATCGAAGTCTTTTTTCTATCCTGCCAACCACAACCGCAATAAATCATTCCACGTTGATTTCTCTACTTTTTGCAGTATGAAATTGGCTTAATCGTTTCTCTTCAATTATTGATATATTTTTCCTCAAAATTATTAACTTAGTAACTTATATTGTGTGAGGTTAGTAATGGAATTCGACTAGACTGTTCCCGACAACGCTGCGAAAGAGACACCTTGTATCTTTTCGTTCTGTTAAAGTATATTGATATATGCCAGAATGGAATCGATTTTATGTAAAATCTTATCTTGTCTATGCGGAGCTAGTTTGCTTCAATTCGAAATTTTTAAATTACGCTGAAATATTTCAGAACGGCTACTTTTTTTTTTGTTAAAAACGGTTTGCAAGTCACGTCCAAGAGAATCAGAAAGTAGACATCATGGCCGCCATGTTGCATTTAGCCGAGTTTGCCAAAACCCTAAGGACAAATCCGTTGTCAAAAACACAATCAAAATGGTGACTTAAAAAACACAGGATATTTTCTTTAGATTTCAGCGTTGTTTAGTTTGGTATAATAGTCAGTAGCCAGTATCATTAATTTTCTTTTACCTACCGCGATCTCAGAATTGCTCCAAGGGGAAATCTCGCAAGTGAGTTTAGATGATGATGGCTTCGACTTGGCGTCCTCATGCAATCGTTTCCCTTTCAATCTTTAATGCAAATCATTATACACTAAATAACAGTACTATATATACACATGAATGTCTGCGTTATACTTATTATCAGTAACAATCGACCAAGACCATATAAAAGCCACTGTGTTAGTCAGTCCTCTAGTACGCTATAAATACGCATGTAAATTATCTTCGTTGCCTCTTCCCTCGCTTCGTTTGCATATACGCGCTTCACACATTTTCATCGTTATTCTGATAAAGGCTATCATTAGTTATAGCCGAAACGTCATGGTTTTTAAATATTCTACGCTTTTTATCCGTAATCCTACTTTTAATTTATCTGCGGTAAGCGTTGAATCGTTATACAGATAAGGAAGCGGATGTTTAATAACTATGAATTCTAGCTGTGGAAATGATGATTTTGGAGCATGATTGTAGCGCTACAAAATTTAAAAAATGGGATTTAACAGTGGCATTTTCACAAAGTGGCTCTTCATCCACTGAATTCCAATTGGAATTTAGAAGTTGAATTCTTTTACAGTTCCAGTAACTTTAAGCTTTTTCTTTCCTCCCGACAGAAAAACTGGCTCCTTGGTGCTTGAGTTTGAAAGGAAAAAGAGACTGATTTCTTACAGAATTTTTACTTAATTGCATGCATATTCATAGACATTTATTTTGAGAAAGCCAACTTGGTGTTTTGTGTTAGTTCTAGCTTTAGTACAAACATCTTTTGCGTGTACCTACAGAATACCATGCCAATCTTATGCACATATTAATTAACAATAATTATTATATTTTGTTTTATGGTTGGCGTTCCTCGAAAAATTCCCACAAATTTATATGATTGTTCACCATGCTTTAAATAATAATAATAATAATAAACTTTATTACTGTGTCATGTCGTTCTAGCTTATTTAAATAAACTAATTGGGGACACCTATCTAGAACCCTATAAAACCAATAAAAATCTTATCCCATGTTTCCAA